TCTAAATTTTTGCTTCACATCTGTGCGCTTTGAACTGGGCTCTGAATGTAAGTAGTTTATGTGAATGCAGACACAAAGAGATGTTTACCTTATCATGGTTAAATCTCTATATTATTGCAAAAAGAAAAAAAATGCAGATAACGTGACACAAACTGACAGCAGACTGATTGTCCTATTGCCGTTTGGTCACCTTCACTATCACACACCGGCGTAGTCACAGACCTGGTCCCCATCTTCAAAGCAACTGTTTCAAAAGCAGCGAGATCCAAGTTTGCTGCACACTGTTGCAAAAATTTTGGTTGTGCTGCCATCTCACTGTTAATGTAGCATTAGGGAGAGGTCATTACAGGGTCATTACAAATACAAAGTTGTTTACAGTGATAATGCCTCCATCAACAGGGCACGAGGGGGTGACCGAACACACCAGCTCTCCAGATTTAAACCTGAAGGGGAGATTTTAAACCAATGTGTTTGGCAGCACTCTTCTAATGAGGGAATGTGCTCATCCATCCAGCAGAATCAATGCCAAGGTCTACTGGATTTTCTTTTAATTTGTCACATATCTGTGGATGTTCAACGCAAATTTCTGACAGTCAAACAGGCTTTACAGCAGCTAACAAGCATCCTGTATTCATGCATTTTTTCACCACTACGCACACTCACAAATATGCTGAGCTTAAAGTGCAGCAAAGCAGTGAATGCATCACTGAACGGATGAAAGTTTATTGCACATTCAAAAACAGGCACGCGTTTTTTTCTGGCCCACCGTCCAACAGTAAGTTTACACTTCACTAGATGTGCCGCTTAAACTGAAAACAAGCAGATGATCTGTTATGCAGTATCACCTCATCTTGTAAAAGTCTTTACAGCTTCACAAATGTGGACTGATAAAAAGAAAGACAGCATTTCCGTGTAATTAAATGCATCTGTCCTGCTGACTCTGACAAAAAAGCAGAAAGAAAAAAAGAAGAGAGCAATTTCACGTGGTCCCTTTTACACACCAAAACAGGCCAGAGGACAAGAAGGCATTAGAAGGTGAGCACAGGGCAAAGGGATGAAGTGAAAGGATGAGGTTAAGTGGATCTTACTTTGCCTCCAGGGCCAAAGCAATTATCGCGGCAGCCATGGGAGCCGAGGCTGACGTCCCTGTGTGACTGTCTGTACACCGATGCCTCAGGTCTGTTGTGATCTGTGGAAAGAGAAGTGAAGAGAGTCAGAGGCAACAAAGAGACAGGCGCAGGATGATGAATCAACGTCAAAGATGATAAAAGAGAGGATGAGGAATCAGAAAGCCGTAAGCAAACAATGAAGGAAACCATGAGAAGGGCATTACGGAGGTGGAGGAAAGGAATCAACAATGACAGTACCGGGAAGACCAGAGGGAGAAAAAGATGGGAAGAGATTGAAGTCATGAGGATCAGCAGGATTTAGACACACCTGAAACTCTTTAAACTACCATTCCAGCTTTGATACGCTGCCTTTCTATAGATAATGTGCACACACACACACACACACACACACACACACACAACACGCAAGCACACAAAATCACCAGATTCACAGGGAATAAGTTTAGTGTTAAAGAAGAAAGGAAAAACACTGTGTAAGAAGTATAAAGTAGCATAAAAACGTGTTATTAAAAAGCTGCATGTTCCCTTTGATTGTATGGACTTTAAGCAGCGAACTAGTCAGACAGCTTGACAGTCAGTTAGCCAAGGAAAGCCTGGCTAACTTCCAGTCTTAGCCCTCATCAAAGGACCTTTTCTGGACTGAAAAGTTTGGGGGATTATCTGAAGAGACACACACACATATACACGAGAACAGAATGTGGTTCAATAGTATTAAAGTCGACAGTATGTGCCCAAGTAGATATGCTGACACTCATATATCAAATATATGAAGTTCTACTGTGAACAAAGAGTACACAGCCAGCAATAAATCATACACAGCATGCGTGTTCAGGGGTGTGTGTGTGTGTGTGTAGTAGCATCAGTATGAGGAATGCAACAAGACGCTGCCAGACAAGCCGACAGGCACTGCTCATCCCAGCAGGTCAGCAGGACTGATGTGGTTGATCTGAGTTAAACAAGGCTACAAAACTGGACCTACAAGCACACACGAGGCCAGGTTCATGTTGGTTTTTATCATGCTGCACCATACCTCCATCCATCTATCATTTAACTCTGTTAAAGGGGCAGCATTAAAGGCAGAGAAGCCTAAACCTCTCTTTCCCCATCCACCTCCTTCAGCTCTTTTGGGAGAAACAGACGTGTTCCCAAATTAGCTGAGAGAAATAATATCTGCAGCATGTCCTGGGCCCACCCTGGAGTCTCCTACCAGCAGGTCATGCCTGGAAATACTTCACCTGGGAGGTGCACAGGAGCCATGCTGTATGCTTATTTGAAATTATACTATACTGGGTTTTCCTCCATCTATCCAGCCATCCATCACCACCCATCCATGGCAGCAGACTGAGCAAAAGAAAAGGGGAAGACCAAAGCATTCCCAGGCCAGTCAAGATACATAATCCCTCCAGCGTGTCCTGGGTCTACCCCAGTGCCTCCTCTTGGTAGGACATACCCAGAACACATCACCCAGGAGGCATCCTAGGCAGACGCTTAAATCACCTAAACCGGATCATTTGGATGTGGACAAATAAATGTGTGGTGTTTGGTGCTTAACTAAAATTATCAGTCATCACCCATTGGTGCTTATTTTCCTTCACTCAACACTTACAATCTTTCGGTCGTAGTTCTCCCCGCTGCTATAAGTGGTGGTCAGTGTAGACGAGCACTCCTCCAGGTACCAGGGCTTGCGTCCGCTCTCAGCCGTGCTGGAGATGGAGATGGTGTAGATGGAATTGGTGTAGCCGTCGCAGGAGCAGTGGTCTCTGCTGCGCCCGCCGTTTCCTGAAGCCCATACAAAGATGGAGCCGCGGCCCTTTCTCCCCTGACAGGAGAAGAAACGAGAAGGTTTTTATTAAAAGACTTCACATTGTCTTAGTACTTGGAGGCAGTTGCTGCCCGCTAGACCTTTGGCTTTATTTTAAAATGATCTTTTAATGTCTTTTAAAAATGAAAGCGATAGATTCTGGGCTTTATGTGCAGAAATTATTGCTTGAAGAAAAAAGAAAAAACAAATCTTTACCAGCAACAGCAAAAGAGCAGAAACAGATCAGAGAGAAGCCAGACAGTTAAAGTCCTCAACGATCTTATGGGTGTCTGGCAACAGAACTGATGTTATCTGATCCAAGTTTAGTAATCATAATGTTTTAACTGGCCAAATACTGTGGATGTGTGTGCCTGCCTCCCCCTAAAAAAGGAAAAAAGATGTTGGCAATGCTTGGAGCCATGCTGTGTAAGTGAGGGTTTTTAGGATCTTGGACTGAGCGAGGTTCACTTCTGTCTTGTCACGTCACTGCAGCAGAGCATGCAGCATCGTTTACTGACTGACAGACGTTACTGGAAACTATTACGTTCGTTTTAAATTGCAATAATTGAGCTACAGGAAATTACATTAAAAAGATGCACGCTTTCCTGAACTGTACATTGCATTGTATCACGTCTGAAGTCTGACTACACTTCATTAGTAAAAACTATAAACTTAAATTTGTCAAATACTTTGTATGATTAAAAGCAATTGCATATCAACAGTAACTCAGGCTCTTCAATTCCCTTAATTCCACATTTTCTACCCTTCAACTCCAATTTTGTTGCTTCTTGTTACTTTTGTACGCACCGTCTTTCCCCTCTACTCAACATTTCCATTTTGTTACATCCTAGAGAAAGATACTGTGTTTTGCTTAGTATTCTGTGGCTTTTCTTTGAAATCGCCATGTAAACATCAAAGCAGTCACATTATAATGTGACTGCTTTGAAAGCACTGAACAAATAGAAAGCACTGAACAAATACAGACAACAGATCACTGGCATTGCTTGGCAGAAAGGAAGTCTTCACGACTTCAAGACGGGAAGTTTTTTACGTGCATGTTTTCCAGATTTTAGGCCCTGGTTACATGGGCGTAGAGAGACCGCCTCAACCATCTGAAAACAACCGGTTATAAGTAAACTGCATTCTTCGACTGACTGGTCAGTGGGTGCTGGAGGTTGCTGCCAGTGGCTGTGAAATCAGCTCCCGAAGCCCGAGCCATGCAAGTCAGAGACCTGTCAGTTCCTCCCTCCCTGCCAACCACTGATCGCTAAAGCAAAGTATGCATCCACTGCAGCACCGTATACCTCTTTGTGACGAATTTTACTCAGCAACTGCTAGCAGCCATTCATCAGCCAGTAAGGAATACTTTTTTTCCCCTATGTGACCAGAGTTTGCCACAGGACATAAACATAACACAAACCGAAAATACAAATCTTGGTGTTCAGAACATTTAAAAAAAACCAAACAAACAAAAAAAATCCCAATCGTATTCAGAAAATCTTCCTAACGGAGAGCCCATGTTAAGAGTGAGCCTCACACTCACATTAATACAATTTTGCCTCAGTTTTTTCTTTTACCTTTTCAGTTAGAAAGTATACTTCCACATTTGTTCAAACTAATTTTGATCTACACCGCGAACCCAGCGGAGACACGCTGAGGATGTCACAGTCAAAGTTCACCCAGGAGTCAGCAGAAGAGATCTCTGACAAACACACAGGTGCTAAAATTCACAACGTTTGTCAAGACACACTCGCACAATAAGCGCACTCACACACACAGACACACACAGACATAGAGCCGGGAATAAAAGGTAGAATGGAGTTCTTCAAAAGGGGGCTTCTGTCAGGCAGCGATAAGCGAGCGAAGCCCCTCTGTGAAGGGAGGGTATCAGACAGGAGCAAATGCTGACAGATGAGAGGGACGGAGAGCGCTTTGAAGAGAAAGAAAGAAGGGGACAAAGAATAAGAGAGGACGATGAAGGAGAGGAGAGAGGTGATACACGGGATAAACAGCATTCATAAGCAGCTGAGAAAAATAAAAAAGCAATACCTCCACAAATAACCTTGATTAAAAGTTCTATTCATTAAAAAAATAAGTGATCGAGTCAAATTAAAACAGCACTTCAGAAAACTATTGAAAAAAAAAAAAATCTGCAAATGTGTTAATGGGGTTTCCCTCTTACAAAATATACACAGGCAGTCTAATTAACACCTAAAACAACAATTCCCATTCAAACAATCGCATTTAAACTGGGACAAGCCAGGGTATCTCCCCACAGCTGTCAGTGTTATTTCTAACACCTTGGCTCTCTGTGATAAACTGCCACTTCAAGATATGCACAAGTACTTGTTACACTCACAAACATGCCATTTCCACTCAGGCTCAAACGGTTGGTGGGCATGCAAGGACACACGTGCCCTACCCATACCAGTGGGACAGATATCCCCCTCCCTTCACCTCATGTTAAAGGCCAGCCTGTCATCAACAGGCTGGCCTGTTCTTCTAACACTCACAGCCTGTTCCATCACTCTTTTCCTTCTCTCGCTTCCTTCCTGTTTTGCGACAGGAGCCTTTCGTTCTCATCTTCTAGAGTCAAGTCTGAAAAAGGTCCATATAACCGCTGACCAGCCCCACCGATTCCCCTCCCTCCCTGGATCACCCCTCAAAAGGTCAACATCTGCTTGCCCAGAATGGAAACAGCCACCTAAAGTAAACTTTTAATGTTAATGAGCACATTTGTGAGACATAACCAGTAAATGACTTCACCCCACTTAACCTCTGATATTGCTTTTTCACTCCACTCAGCCGACATCACAACACCAGCTTGCAGTTATGCAAAGCAGGCTATGAATATGTAAATGAATATATGCTAATAGAGCAGAGCTGCTCTCTAATGTCCGGAGGAGCTTCACAGGTAGAGATAGCCTGGGAGCAGCATGGACTACAATTATATTAGCGTGAAATGCACATCTGCTTTGAGTGTGTCTTTGTGTGTGTGTTTACATCTTTTCTTGCCACATGAATACTAATGCCAAAGTCCTGTTTAAACAATGAATCACATGTTTACTTGTTTCTACATGTATACGAGAGTCCATGTGTACGTGTACCCACCGTGCGGATGCCATTGTCAAAGGCCTGCCTGGCCAGAGTTGCTGGTCCATCCACGGTCTTTCCGTCATCATCGGGTCCCCAGCTGGCACTATAGATGTCGATGTGCTGTGGGTTCAAGCTAAGAGATCTGGCCTCCACCATGTCCGTTACATCTCCATCCAGCATTCGCACACCTGATGCATAAACACAGAAATAAAGCATGCATTTGATAAAGTTAGATTAATATCTCAAGAATCTACAGAATAAGCTATAATAATAATAAGAAGAAGAAGAAAAAATAAAAAGTAAAAAGTTTGTAAAACCTCTATAATTTCAAGCATCTATGGAATTACTGCTCATAACACGTAGCCTGATTCTGTTTCAACAAACAACTGGTGAAAAAACAAAACTAATCACAGAAAAAATAGCTGAATCTTCATTCAATACACCGATTACCGTAGTTTTCGGGTCATAAGCCGCTACTGTGAACACTGCGGCTTATACTGACGTGCGGCTAATGCATTTTTTTTTTTTATGCGGCCAAAAACATTTTGCCTGGTAACAGTAGACCAATAAAATTGATAAGTAGTATATATACGGTATATGTTTTTATGGGTTGTTAAGAGACGTTGTAATGTTGTGTGTGCACTGTTCCATAAAAAAACCATAAGCAACGTAATTTGTGTGTTACTGATACGTACGTATACTTAAAGGTAGCCGTGTTACATGCGCTGTTCGAGGAAAAAAAAAAAAGCATTTGCAGTATGTATTTTGTATGTTACCATAACGTTTATGTTACCTTACGGATTAAATTAAACGTTAAAAATCCTCACGTATAATATTTCTGTGTAAATATATCATATTACAAGTGAAACGCATACGGCTTAAAATCCGGTGCGACCTGTACAAGTACAAAATTGATTTTCTTTCTAAAATTAGAGCATGCGGCTTTTAATCAGGTGCGCTCTGTCGAGTTATATCCTCTTTCAGCAACATCCGCCATGAAATAATTATTGGGGCTGATTCAGTGTTTTTGTTTTTATTTTTAAGAGCAGCTGACTCGAAATGGCTTATATGGTATTAGCATAGAGGTGTTAAATAAGGCATGTTGAGCACAACGGTTCATGTGTCACTAGTTGGTCATACTGTGTTCATCTATAATTGCAACTTGAAGGAAGATGTTTTTTTTAATGCAACATTAACAAAAATATTTGAAAATGACATTAATAACATTTTTAAAGAATTAGGAGAAACACATATGTACAGCAAGCACATTTGTGCTACGATGTCCTTTGATGTCTAATGACATTTCAGTTGTCGGGTTTATAATGAATATAAACAGAAGCAGGTAACCTGTCGGTGAGATTATGATGTGCATGAGATATTAAAAAAAAACCCTAACATTTAGGGTGAGCCAGTAACTGCATAGGTTAATGACATTCACAAAGGCAGTGAAACCAGAAGAGACAAAGTTCAGCAGTGGCAGTTCTCTTCAGCATCCTTTGAAATGCATTAGAGGTTCTTAACTCTTAATCATACTAATAAATCCTTATGACGTAGGTCTCTGCTGAAAGAGATGTCATGTCAAACATTGTTGATAAAGTGCAAATATAACACATCGCTCACCTCCTATTCTGGCATTGTAGGCAATTCCCACAATGCAGTGGGAGTTGTTTGCAGCTGCAGCAACTTCACCCGCACACCGTGTGCCGTGTCTGGGGAAAGAGTGGGAATGAAGAAGCTTATTACAAAAATCTAAACACACATACACACACACACACACACACTCTCACACATCATGTAACTGAGCTGGAGAATGTCCCAGATGAGTAAATATATACACAAGCAGGATCACACACGCAAACCACCACATAAACATGCTGCATCTGAAGGGGAATCGACACACATGTAACCGCGCTTTTTCATGGACAAATATGTACATTTCTGCTGAAGTCATCATAAACTATACGCTTGAAGTGTACAAATGTAAGAAACGCTACAAATATTTCTGCAATTCTTGTTTTGTTTTGTTTTTCTGACAGAGGATGAAAGAGTACTTCATCATTTGTAATACTATCAGGACAAATGTTTGGAGTAGTCAATGCTCCCCAAATGCATGCACGCACACACAGGTCCTTTTGTGATATTTTCTGAGCACAGCATGCAAGTAATGTGCTCCCTACGAGCACACAGGAAATAAATGAAAAAAAAAAAATCTAGTATGTTAGACTGCTCACACTTCCTTTTACAGTTAAAAATACACACATGTACACACAAAAAACACACAGAGACACACACCAGGGTAACATTCCACCAGCAACTGCAGTGGTGACAATCGGCCCAGGCCAGGGACCAGCGTAAACAAACATGGCATGTTTGCGTCCGCCGCCTGCTCAAAAACACCACTTTCTGGATCGACACAAACACACTCACACACGCATTCACCTCCTGCAGAGAACATCTGCATCATCCCGCCTCCCCCTTGTCCCGGAAACAGCTCTGACCGTTGCCACGGAAACCCAGCATCTAGCTATCATGAACACCCCCCGACCCCAGGGGAGTCAGAGTAAAGTTTGCTCCACAGTTACATGATAGACTCAAATTATCTGTAATCACTGTCCTCACTTAACTAAGGTGCTGTGTTTCTGCTACTATTAATCTAAATAAATAAAAAAAAAGAAATACTTATAAGCAGAAAATCTATATTGCTTCAACATCAAAGATTTCCAAACTTTTGGGGTCACAGTTTTCTCCCCACTGAGGGGCCACTTTCCCAATTTACAACCTCATAAACCTAACACTGGTAGGGCGAATGCCTATTTTCACATTAGAAGCGACTGGAGCCATTTCGATTTTAAATGTTTTCAGACTAAACACTTCAGATGTATGTGCTGTGATGTGTTACAATGATGTCAGAGTTTCTGCTCGTACAAAGACAACATGGGTGAGAGTAAAGAACACATTATGCTGGCTTTGTTGCTGTAAATGGTTCCAATTTGCAGATTTGCACTTGAAAACAGAGCGCAATCCTTTACAGCAAATTAGTTTGGGGACCCCTTTGCCAATAGTCATAGTAATGCTCAAATTTTAAGCATTATGTTTTACATGATAGGCTGTTTATCAAACCATTACCACTTGACAAAGCAACTTTAACATGACCTTTGTGTCATGCATTGGATCTTTTGATTTAGGCTCAATTTAATCCAGCCTAGATATTAAACTCATATGCCATTTGTAAAGGTCTGGTAACCTTCAGATACTGTGTCATGGATACAGAAAAGTTAACACAAATGCAGCTGTGAGGGTTAAAGTATAACACGTCAAATAGCTGCACATCAGTGATAGGCCCCTTTATCAAAGTTAATGAGCCAAGCTGCTGGCTCCTTCTTTCAAAATGCTTCAACAGTCCCAGCCCACTCAGTTCACTTCACTCCAGTAATCCATAAAATCGTCTGTGTGGCCGTCTCTCCAGTCTTTGTTTGCCTGTATTTTCCATTTTTTGCACATCTGTGTCACAGCCACTCGGGGTCTCTTAGTTCACCCAGAACTATGCATTTGTGCAATGAATGACACTAAATGGGGCTGTTTCAAAAGAAGACAGAGTTTTAACTTTTTAACTTTGTAAAAATTTTTAAAAAGGGTAAAGCCATCAGATTTAGTTTTTGTTGCTTTTGGCCCCAGTGCAAAGTATTCTTGTTGGTTCTTTATGAATTAGGCTCGATATAATCTCTAATTTTTTGTTTTTTTATTTTTCTTGGGATTGTTTAACCCCAATCCATCTGAATATTATTACTAAATCTTACATTTTCAAGTCACTTTATCAAACAGAGTCGTACTGTTGTATAAATAGTGGTAACATCAAACCCAGCAAATGTGGATCCTAAAAACCTATGATCCTAATTGTAGGTTAATGAATAGGTTAAACAATAGAAAAATATTGTACTATAAAATTTTACCTCCTTAACCTAATCCACAGTGTGTAAAACCACTCGATGTCAATACACTCATAGACCGTAATCAACTTAGAACTGTTTTCTTACCCCTCCCAATTCCAGTAATCCTACCTATGGTGGGACCACAGTAGGAAAAACAACTCCGGCCACCATCTGTAGCCAGTGTAAGCTGTCAGTCTGCTTTTTACCGCAGCCATCAATATGTGCTCATGTTCAATTACTCAAAAAGCCTGCAAAATTAATTTGTGAAATTAGTCTGAAACAACTCGATAAGTCCATGAATCTCTCTTCCGTCTGATGACAGCAATGCTAAGGTGAGTTGTTGTCGATTTCAAACTTTTTTGTCGGTACATGCAGCTGTTTTTGCTGCCGTTAGCCGCTGTTAGCTGTTAACCCAACATTGCTAGACTCACAGACACTTAGCTGGAGTTACGTTGGCTTATAACCAGCTGTTGTTATTGATTAGTGGCTTTTGTGAGCCATCTTGAGATTGTGAGGGACGCATGTCTAATGTACTGACAACAAATAATTGCAACAATATCTGGAAAAAAAATGAGCATTTTTAATGCAGGTTTTTGTGCATCATAGAGCTCCGACTTTAGTACAATAGGTGGGGCTTGAAGATAATGGAGAGG